ATATATATATATATATAAATATTACATTGAGGATTCCATATAACGGAATCAAAATTTTACTAAATACAGGGTGGTCCGAATTTTATGCAGGAAACTTCGAGGGCAGATAGATCTCTTTAAAATAATACGTGTTTGCCTTATAAACATAGGTCTGGAACGTCACCGTTTTGGAGATACAGGGTGTCGAAGTTGTCAAAAAAAAAATAGATTTTTTGGTTATATCTCCGGAATCTATTAACCGATCTCAATAAAATTTGGTACATATAATGTATGATAGTAGGCCTTATATTTTCTGAAATATGAGTTTTAAAGGTTCAACCAGTGGTGTACAACTGGACAGGGGTCACCCCCTTTTTACAAAAAAAACTACGCCACTGCATTTGTTACATGTCATTGTAACTGATTTATATTCTAATGCATAAAATACTTAAAAAAGGTAACCTTAATTTTTTCCCTAAGATTAACCGTTCTCAAGTTATTCATACCAATATAATCCCCTTGTGGCAGACACTTCTGACGATAATATTGCAAGAATATTTGTTTATGTTTAAAAGTAAGTGCAATTATTTACACTCCTTTCTACACCACCTGTGAGGTAGTATGCGATATAAACAAAAAATATATATTTTTTTAAAACCTCAACACCCTGTATCTCTAAAACGCGACCGTTCCAGACCTATGTTTATAAGGCAAACACATATTATTTTAAAGAGATCTATCCACCCTCGAAGATTCCTGCATAAAATTCGGACCACCCTGTATAAATGTGTAATATAAAAGGAATATGGCTTTAGAATTAGTGAACTGTTTGGACTGCCTCATAATGAAACCCAGCATCTTAAGTGTATTAGATATTAGTTTATTAATATGAGCATCAAATAACATTTTACTATCAAAAATCACTCCAAGGTCACTAATTTCATTTTTACGATTTAAAATTAATATTGATATAGGAAAGGATGTTTATTTCGAATAAAAGTGATTATATGGCATTTGTCGATGTTAATAAACAAATTATTGTTTTTAGAAAAAATTAAAAAAGCGTTAAGATCGTTCTGAAGTTTTAGACAATCAGTAACATCACAAATAGGTAAAAATGCATATCCTAACAAACTACAGTAACTAAGGCATTCTTTTATTTTGTTAATATAAATTATAAACATTAAAGGCCCCAAGTGTGATCCCTGAGGTACTCCTGAGGGTATAACAGTGAAATTTGACGTGAGTCCGTTAACTTCAACGCACTGCGTTCTGTCGGATAAATAATTGTCCATCCAGTTCGGCAAGGTGCCACCCATACCGACCTCAACAAGCCTATTCAACAAGATTCCATGATCAATTTCGTCGAAAGCCTTACTAAATTCGGTGTAGACCGCATCAACCTGAACCTGGTTGTCCAAATGGTCTAATATAAATTCAGAAAATACCATGAGGTTAGTTTCAACAGATCTATTTAAAAAAAAATCATGTTGCTCAGACATAATTTGAGTTTTAACCACTGAATAAACGTGATCATAGATAAAAGTTTCCAAAAGTTTGTCAAAAACAGAAAGTTTGCTTATAGGTCTATAATTATATTATTTATAAAACTACGTTGGCCATTTTTAAAGATAGGTATAATACAGGCCCTTTTCCATTTAGTAGGAAAACATCCTGTCGAAAGTGATTGATTATAAAAGAATGTTAAAGGGGATGCCAAGTTCAACCAACATTTTTTTGCGAAAACCGGTGGTATATTGTCCCAACCACCACTTTTATTAGGATTTAAATCCTTTAAACCATTTCTAACATCTTCATATAATTTAATATTACAAAGAACAGAAGAGTAATTGAACTCAATAGAGGACGTGTTAACTCTAGCCTTCTTTTGAACAAAAACACTGGAGAAATATTTAGAAAACAGCTCACATATATCTGGTGTATTTGTAACGGTCACGTCATTTAATGTCATTACAGATGGAAAACTGTTATTACTTTTAATATTAATTGTTTTTTATTGTTTTATTTTATGGACTGTATAATATAGAACAAACTTAACTGAACATACAATATTAAGGGAAAGAAAAAAAGTCTGCCTGCACTTCTCTCTGAGACAGACAAAACTCGACTCCTCTTATTGTTCTGGCTACACGTCCCCTCCCTTCGCGCACAGGGATGCCACGTTTTGTATAAAGTCTCAACACTGCCTCAACATGCCGCCCGCCTTGAAAGCATCTGGGCTTTCAATTAATGAAAGCGAATATTGACTTATGAACAGGGCAACACACACACACGACCCACACCGCGTCTTACTTCTCCACTGGCAGTTTTTACATCGACTACCCTGGTGACTCCATCGTTGCCTGGGTGAAGAGCTGTGACTCTGCCTAACAACCAATTCAGGACAGGAGCGTTTTCATTTTTTACTAACACTAGTGAGCCTACTTGTAGCAACTCTTGAGATCTCTGCTTCCATTTGGTCCTGGTTTGTAATTCTGCAAGATACTCTCGCTGCCATTTCGACCAGTAGTGCTGCAGCATTGATTGCAATAGTTGAAATTTACTTAAACGATTTTCAGGAACATCCATGACGTTTCTCTCAGGAAGTGCTGTTAGCATTTTTCCAATTAGGAAGTGTGCCGGCGTTAAGGCTGTGACGTCGTTTGGATCGGAGGACATAGGACAGAGGGGTCGGGAATTTAGAACACCTTCAATTCGAATTAGCAGTGTACTGAATTCCTCAAATGTTAGAGAATTATTTCCTACAACCCTTTTTATATGAAATTTGGTACTCTTAATACCCGCTTCCCAGATTCCTCCGAAACTAGGCGACCTCGCAGGAATGAAATGCCATTTTATTGAATCGTTTGATAATTGATTACTGATGTAACTTGACTTATTTTCTAAAAATGTATACAATGCCTTCAACTCATTATTAGCTCCTATAAAATTCAGAGCATTATCCGAGTATATGTTCGAGAGTTTGCCTCTACGGTTTATGAATCTACTCAATGAAGCTAAAAATGCCTCCGTAGTCAAGTCCGATGCCAGCTCTATGTGCACGGCCTTGGTGCTCATACACACAAATAAGCAAATGTAAGCTTTAATTATTTTTGCTCCACGAGTTTTTCGATCCTTTAATTGAAACGGACCACCATAGTCAATTCTAACAAAAAGGCGAATAATTAATTACACTCACGTCAGGCAGATCACCCATTAATTAAGTGGTATCTGTTGGCCTTGTCTTAAAACATGTGACGCATTTTCTTATAATGCCCTTGCAGGCGTTTCGTCCTGATATGGGCCAAAACCTTTCTCGAATACTACATAACAACATTTGTGCACCACAATGCAATAATCTTTCATGTTCCTGGCGCAAAATTAATTCTGTTTTTTTTTTCATAAGGTTGAAGAGAATTTCTTATTCTACCTCCTACCCGAATAATGTTATCCTTTAAAAACGGATTTAGACATAATATTTTACTTTTCTTGTTGATTTCTTTTTTATTTAATAAACTAGAGTATTCATTGGGAAAACATTTTTGTTGTACGTTCCGGATGAGAATGAATAAAGCGTTTTCTAATTCATTAGGCGTTAATTCACCTAACTGTCTTAAATCCCTTCGTAATTGAATGTTAGTAACGAACCGTAAGATATATGTTAAAATCCTTTGAATCTTTCTTAATGAAGAAAATTTATGTAACAAATCAAAATTGTTATTTGAAGTAAATGTCACAGTAACGGCGCAAGAGCTTTGTTCTGGTATATCTAAATCTGACACATGATCTGTTAATTGCCATTGCGAATTATCAATTTGAAACCACTCTGGCCCGTGCCACCATAAATTGCAATTAACTAAAAAATTTGGCGTTGTACCGCGTGAAAGCATATCAGCGGGATTTTCGATAGATTTAACGTAGTGCCAATCTGAGATATCAGTTATTGATTGAATTTCTGAGACTCTATTTGCTATAAAGGTTTTCCATCTATTTGGAGCTCCTCTTATCCACGAGATAGTAATTAAGGAGTCTGTCCAAAAGAAATAAGCGTCAAAATTAATTTCTAAAGACTCAATTGTTGTTTTTTGCCAAATTTGCCAATAACACGGCTCCACACAACTCTAAACGTGGCAAAGTTATTTGTTTAAGCGGCGCAACACGCGATTTTGCGCACAACAATTTTATTGTGAAATATATTTTCCTGATGATGTCATAGACCTACTATATATGCAGGCTCCGTAAGCCTTTTCCGAGGCGTCGCTAAACCCATGAAATTACATTTTCACATAATCGGAAATGAAAGCAAGCCTTGGTATTTTGAAATTATTAATGACTGCTAATTCACCTTGAATTTGTACCATCTTGTATGCAAATCATGGGGCACTGCATCATCCCACGATATTTTAAGTTTCCATAAGTCTTGAATAATTAATTTTGCAACAATTATTATGGGTCCTAATAGCCCTAACGGATCGAAAATCTGACATATTATTGACAAGATACGTCGTTTTGTTGTTTTATTCATTGTCCTAAAATTCATAATTGAAAACTAAATAGAATCGCGATTAGAATTCCAATATACGCCAAGCGTTTTTATCGGTTCGTGGTCACCAAAATGTAAAATACCAATTTCTAAATTATTATTAACTTGTATTTTATTTAAAATGTTTTGATCACTTGAAAGCCATTTACGGAGATCGAAACCCGCGCTAGCTAATATTTGTGAAATCTTCCCCGTTAGGAGATCGTCCACATAAAAATCGTCCCTTATAGTTTTGCTAGCTAAAGGAAATTTTATTTCATTGTCAATACTTAATTGTAACAAACATCTAACGGCTAGATACGGCGCAGATGCTGTTCCATAGGTGATTGTATTACATTGATAACATTTTAATTCTTTACTGGGGTCGATACGCCAAAATAGTTTCTGATATTTACGCTGGTCTTCATTTATAAAGACTTGCCGATACATTTTTGATACGTCAGCTGTTAATACATATTTATATGTTCTAAATCTAATTAAAATGGAAAATATATCTTGCTGCAGTGTCGGCCCACTATATTGCACATCATTTAAAGAAACTCCTGTGTCTGTTTTCGCTGAAGCATCAAATACTACGCGGCATTTTGTTGTGATACTTGATGTTTTTATTACCGCATGATGAGGTAAGAAGTAGCCTTCATCATCTTGTTCAACATTTTCAATTTCAGACATGTGGCCTAAATTCAAATATTCTTCCATAAAGTTTACATACTCGGCCTTTAAAATAGGATCCTTATTTAGTTTCTTTTCTAATGTCTGAAACCTACTAAACGCATTGTTACGAAAGTTTCCTAATTCGTTTAAAGAATTTTTAAAAGGAATCTCTACTATAAATCGACCTGTACAATCGCGTTTAGTGGTTTCCTTATAATAATAAATTTTTATTGTTCGTAATTTCCTCTATCATCCAAAAATTTTTAATTTCATTATTAATTGAGTTTTCAAAGTTAATGGTTAAACAACTAACAGAGGATTCATTGCCTTGTGTATTTAAATACAATGTGCCTGCAACTACCCAGCCTAATTGAGTATTCTGCAACAGTGGTAAGTTGCAACCAAGTTGTTTTTGACCCGAGCATAAAATAGACCAAAATACACTTGATCCTAACAAAATGTCTATTTCCCCGGTTTTATTAAATCCTGGGTCGGCCAGAGGTATATTGCTTGGTATACTTAATATATTTTTATTGAACGACCTTAAAGGTAATTGATCGGTTATCCTAGGAAGAACTAGACACTTGATACTCATATTAAGCTTATTATGACATGACATGATTGTAATACTAACTTGTTTATTAATGTTTGCCAAAGTTTGACCTACACCTTGCACTACATGATTAACATTTGTTTGAGATAAATTTAATTTTTCACATACTTTTTGAGATATGAAATGGCTCTGTGAACCGCTGTCGAGTAAAGCGCGACATGTAAAATAATTGTCATAATGTTTTATTTTGATAATTGCCGTAGACAGCAGAACTTCTTCGCGCTCATTAGACGTGGCAACGATGTGCTTGGCACTGTGACTATTATAGATATCGAAACAACAGGTGGGGGAACATGCTGGACGCTGCGAGCTTCAGCGGCAGGGCACGTGTTATCTACATTCCTGGTATGCTGCAATTCGTCCATCTCTGTCGCATGTTCTTTTTTATTCGAACTGTCGCTACCGTTGAACCCTTCTAAATGCAATAATGAATTGTGCGACTTTTTACATTTGATACATTTTTGGGACTTACATTTCCATGATGGATGGTTTTTGCGTAAACAGTTTAGACATAATTTTAACCGTTTACTCGCTGAAATTCGGTCTTCTGTTTTTAATTTTAGAAAGGCTTCACAGTAATATATCAAATGATTTTGATTACAATAATTACATTGATTTTTATTTGATTCTATTTCTGCAAAACTACTACTTATTTGTTTTTTATTGTAATTTTGATTTATTGATTTATTCTTATCGTTCTTTGACGTTTCAAGTTTTTCTAATATTTCACATTTAGACCTTAAAAAGTCATTTAAATCTACCATGTCTGGTAACTCACTTCGATATTTATATAATTCCCAATCGCGTCTTGTGACTGGGTCAAATTTATTACTTATTATGTAAATTATTAGGCGATCCAACTCGAATTACGATATAGCATCCCTTTGTTATAATAAAGCAAACTCTGCAAGAGAAGTCTTGTTTACCACTCGTGTATGTAAGAACTTCGGAATAAAGTGCTTTTTCAAAAATTCCTAAAAAATTATTATTTTTTAAAAAAGTTAAATAAAAACCCAAAATCGAAACTGGCGCAGTCTTGTGGATTTGTACAAGAAGAA